TTTACCTAAATATTTAAATCCCAATTTCTATTGATTAAATCAATTATTACACCTATTGGTATTTTGGAACTTGCCTAAAGACAAAATGTCACTATTAACTAGTTAATTAAACTATTGGTTGTTTTATCAGCTGCTTATTTCTACTAACGATAAAGTATTTGAGATACAGGGGCCAATTCTCCGATAAAATAGAAATGTTATGGCAATGCTATGTCACGGGTCTATATTCGTATTTATTATATTTTCTGTGCAATTAGGCAAGATTTCTACATAAAAACTAACTTCACGTATGTGTTATCAAAGAGACGCCAGAAAGTTGCACTTGTGATAAAACTGATATTTGACTTTGTGCGTTGTAGGTTTTGTTAATCTTCTACTTGTAGCTAAATCAAATTTCCATCTCCTCGTATTTATCGATTGCCGTACACCCATGACATACACATTGTCAGAGTGTGCGGGCGCCGTGGCGCTGTCTTAGCGTTTTATGACCCGCGTGAATTACCAATGAGTTCTGCCCGTAAATGCCGTTCAAGGATAATGAATACCTTACGTATTCATTAAGCTTGATTCAACTAAGGATCGGAAAGATTTTGACACTAGAAAGATTGATACAAGGAATGATTCTTAGTGCTTAACATGCTGTGAATCTTTCTCAACTTTAAAGAGCCTGCTGTCAAATTATATATAGTTTAATATATATGAAATGTATAATTAAATATATATACATAAAAAAATTTCAGGATAAAATAAAATTATGAGGTATATAATCGTATGAGTTGATAGTCACAGACTGTCAAAAAGTTGTGTCGTTGTTGTCTTAGATTGATTTTCATATTGGTTTTATATATTTTTTAAAGTACTACACAATATTTTAAATTGGCTGCATTGCAATTTTTAGGTTCAAACTCTATTTCCAATTATTGCAATTAACTGCATATATTTGCTATATTGATTATAGTTGCAAGTTTATGGCTTTTCAATCTTTAGTACTGATTGTAGTTTTCTATAGTATGCCCTAATTGGACCTCATCACTTCACCCACACCATGTAAAGTAGTCGATATTTCTTTACAATATCAAATCATAATCTTTTATCAAATATTAAATTTTCTCTAATCTAAATCAAGCTTTATCCACGAACAATGTTTTCTTGAGTACCGGCATCATCCCACACATGTATTTCAATCTAATGACCTTAATTATAATACCGAATCGCTCCCGAGTACCTACAGAATGAGTATTATGGTTATGATCGAATTAATTACCCGATAGCTACCCAATGTCTGTGTGTCTGTATTTTATATTGCATTTTATAGGCAATATAATCGATAAGATGACTGATTTTACTGTTACAAAAGACCATAATGGTCCTATAAAGATATATTGTGGATAAGGCATAAATTATTCATGGTAATCGGCTGATATTCAGCACGTCATTTCACAATGAAAATGGTATAAAAATATTGATGTAAAATAATAACTGGGTAATAATAATACTTAGACTTTTTCAATTTTATATCTATAATTTGATATGACTCTATATAAATTATCAGGTTTGCAATATTTAACATTAGATGCAAGAAGCATTCTGTTTTAGGGCAACTTGCACAGGTATAATCAAACTACTTAATTTTATACCAAAGCAAACTATTTTGTGCAATAAAAAATTAAGCAAACTTTAAAAAGCAATTTTCATATTAATAATTACCAATTAATTCAAAACTTATAAGAAAACAGTTCAAACAGAATATTTATTCCATTGAACTCCATTAAAAGCATCTGACTATATCTTGAACCTTATTAAAACTTAACAACCGCTTCACAGAGATCGCAATTATTAATTTCGAACAGTAATTAATATGCATTTTAATTGCATTAGTTTAAGCTCAAAAGTTCTTTGTTAAGAAAAGATATTTATCCAAATATACAGATTCAAAGCTTTCCTTTAAACTTTACAATAAGACACTTCGTGAACAGAAGAAACTTTTGCAGTACGATGGAACAAAATAACTTTTTAATCTTTCTGTGCCGTTTGTTTTCATTATTTATTTGCTTTCGGATAGTTTACGGAACATTATAGAATCGTCAAATACCAGAAACTGAGAATAGAGTTTTTAAAAAATTTACAAATCGCTTCAAGCAGACTCACTATTTGATATATAATTTCTTTTTGATCAATTTGTTAGAGTTTGTGACAATAATTGACCCACAGGTAATTACATGTGTTTTACAGGTCAAAGGTGCTAAGGTAATCTGTTCATATTAAAGCAATGCTAAAATGTACTACTTGCCTCCAAATAATCTTTAATGAGGGCATCTTAAGGGCGTCTTAAATCCTCAATCATCTCAATTTTTCCTAAATTTTGTATATCCTATCCTATTAAAATTCCTGGACTTTCGATACATTTTCAACAGCTAATTGCAAAGATGTGGTTGCCCTTCAAATTATTTGTGTAAACTAAGTAAAGTAAAACATTAAGTTTCGGAAGTGATTTTAAAATTTTTAAAATCATTGCCTTCATTTTCAAGGAAAAATAGAAATGTATGATAAAAGTGTGGCTTACTTAATTTTACTCCAAATATCTTCAAAATTTTGGACAAGAAGCTTTTTCATGAAAATCTTAACTGCAAATGCAAAACAAAAAAAAAGAAATATTTAAAAATATAGAAATTTAATCCCAAATATTAATATTAGCGAAATCACCAGTTGCAAATTATATGTCTTAAATTTTGGCAAAATTTCACCATTTACTGCTACACTCTTTTACAAGTTGGCTCAAAAATAATGCAAATATACACATCACAGTTTTTTGCATGCTAACCTTAATTGCAAATTTTGTTAGAAAATAAATAAAACTTTCAAATATTAAAACATTTGTACTAATTAACATTTCCTTTAATAATAAACATGTAAAATTTTAATTCCAAGTTGTTTACAAATTCTTTCTTCCAGAATATAAAATAAAGAAGTCTTTAAAACATTTATGATCGTTTTTGATGAAGTTTTATTTAAACTTTTACAACTGCAAAAGCGCTTGAGATTATGGCTTTGTTAAAAGTTTATTGAATCAGAGTTATTTCGCTGCTTTATGGGACAGTATAAAAAACAGTTTTTTAAGTAAAATAATTATTTTATGCTATTAAAAAAATGTTTCCTGAATTAGGTAATGGATTAGTAAAGAATACCGGTAGAACTGAAAGGTAGAAAATTAGAAAAAAATACTAACAATCTTAGCAGAAACTGAAGGATCTGGGTTGTCTTCTAATTACATCAACAATTAGTTTGGTAAAATATGTATTGTTGACCAAGGCTACAAACATTAGTAATTAAAAACACTAAATATCTTACAGTAACTCCAATGTTGATTCCAGGCATCTCACTCCACTTTTGATTCTAGGAATATAGGTTATGATAATTTTTTTCTGAATTAAAAATATTCTGTATTTTGTAGAAAAAGATTCAGCATAAATTTGATATCGTGTACAGAGATTTCTATTTTATTAAATTACATGAGATGCAAATTCAAGAGGTTATGAAAACGTCGTAGTGCGCTCCGACAATAACTCTTTCGAATGCGTTCTGTACGGATTCCGAACAGAATCGCCGAGGGCGGAATTGTTATTTCCGTTTTTTACAGGGTTGAATTTTTCTACCCTACATCTTGAAATTTGAAAAATCATTTAAAAAACATCTATATGCACAACAAATTACTAGATATCAAGAAATTTGTTAAAAAATTAAGAAAAACAGTTTCAACAGTGAAAGAAAAATATCGCAATTTCCATCAATGCAAGCCTGTATCTGGTTTCATCAAATAGCTTTCAATTTTTTCAAAATCGGTGCAGCCGTTCTTGAGAAATTGTCGACGAAATATCAAGTTTTGACTCTTATGAAAAATATAATTTTAATAACTTCGGTGACACACATACATAATTTTAATGATTTTGGTGTCAAACAATTCAGAATGACTTAGAACGTCAAGAAAACAAAATTTACAACTCGAATTATCTATCGAAAACATAAACTTCTCAATGGAGATCATAATAAAATTTTATTAAATTATTCATATTTACAGAAATCTGAATTATGATATCGATCCTTTACCCTCCCTCATCCCTGTTTCAAATCGGAATTTAATACAAAGTTATATAATTGCTATCCTCCTCGGCTATGCAATATATTATGGATGTAGCGTTCGAATACATTAGAAAGCTTTAAGAAAAAGGAAATTGCATTTAAGTGCAACTTTGGCCCATGCGGTTCCCGAACAGATGTTTTCTATTGCACAATATCCCTTTGGAAACTTTCAACAAACATTCTTAATATGCACTGACAATAATGAACTATAATATATCTATACTAATAAAAATTATTTATTACAAATTGTAATATACGATTTTATAGGAAAATATAAAATAATTAAGGATACTGTTTAATAAAAAATTAGACGACAATTATCGGATAAAATAGAAACGTTATGGTAACCCTATATTACGGGTCTATATTTGTATGAGTTGGTAGTAACAAACCGTCAAAAATATATATGTTTGCTGCGCGATCAGGCGTAACGTAACGTAACTTTACGTATGTGTTATCCAGAAGACATCAGAAAGTTGCACTTCTGATAAAATAGTTATTTGACATTTGTGTGTTTCGCAGGTTAGGATTTATGTGTAAAATGCCTGATGACATAATAAATGTATAGTTTTTTGACAGTTTAACTCTGCCAACTCATACGAATACATTCCGTAACATAGCATTACATAACATACTTATTTTATCCAAGAATTGACCCAAATCACCCCGAAGTTACCTTTTTACTAATAAAATTGTAAAATTTTCTTCACTTGATGTAGAGCTCAATCGCTTAATTAATCAATTACTCATTTAAAGAAAAATTTTATTATATATATATATATATATGTCTAAAACAGAATTATTTATATGAATAAATTTGCAATTTTTTAAATATTCTAATAATGTCCATATGTTTTTTCCAGATCTCCCAAAAGATGGTCCTCATATTACCGGAGAGCGAACTCAATATGAAATTGGAGATGACATCAATTTAAATTGTACCTCTGGAAGATCTCATCCACCATCTATTTTACAATGGTTTATCAATGACAAACAGGTAAATTTTCATTAAATATGAAGATTATAAAAAAAACAATACATCCACTACAAGATTGTGATATTTTAAAACATTTTCCAAATAAAAGATGGATGGCAAATTACGTTTACTTATTACTGATTACTAACCTTAAAATATATGGATTATTTATTTTGGTCCCTGTTTATTAATGAAAAAATATAAAAATTTTAAAATATATGGAAAAAATAATTTATCTATTTTGTAATGAATACACTAAGTAATAAAAACTTATGAATGTAACCTTTGTAGCAAAAAATATTTTGATCCTTTATGTTACACATTTAAGAAATGTTAAGAAGCCATTGGTCATCCATGATCATTGTGGTAAGTGCATAAATTTATAAGAAAATTATAAATTACAAAAAAATTGAAAAAGGATAAAAAGGTGTCTTTGAATAAAATAAAAAAAATAACTGCAGTAGAATTGTCGATAAACGGTGGTTTCATCTTTCACCAGAAAATGAACTGGAACGTGACATTCTAACTTTCCTTTATAGATTTAAACCAGGATTTCCTTTTGCATTACTTGAAAATTTTAGTAAGGAAAAATTCTGAGTTTCATGGATACTTTATGCAATAATCTTTAAATTTTCATATAGAATTTTTTTAAATTCAGCTAATGATTCTAACTGAATTCAAAGAGAATTGGGTTCGTGCAGACTCCCTATGAAAAAAATAGCATTGGCAACTTACAATAAGTAAATGTTAACACATCTAAGTACAAACAGAAATTTATTATTGATTTACAAACCAATAATTGATTATATTTCATTTATATTCGAGTAAATCAATCAGATCTTCATTGAAATACAAATAAAGTGTACCCATGAAACTATAAACAGAGATCGCCTTACATAACACAACAATGCCGATTCAATATAATACCGAACCCATTCTTCAATATTAATTCAAAACCAGTCGAGCAAATAGTACAACATGTGTAAACAGGGCCAAATTTTAGCCATATTCAAACCAAAAATTAAAATGCTAAAATGCAAAACTAATTTGAAATGTAAAAAATCCAATTTTTGATTGATCGATTCTTTAAAATTAAAAATTCAAAACGATTGAAACGCTGAATTTCACTTTTTAGAGTTCCAAAATTACAAATTCTAAATATCTTAATTACAAATTTTAACTTGTTTTAAAGAAGTAATTTACTTATATTTATAAATTCGTTACATTTTAGTAGGTAAAATTGTAGTCTTAGTAAATAATATCAGAATAGTAATAATGTATATATAAATTTTTTTGAAGTGAATATACCTTGAATACCCGTAAATTTATAAATTTTAAGAAGAAATAAATATTGATATATGGAAATTTTCAGTTTAAAATTTTGGAATTTTGAATGGTCAAAAGAAATTTAAGTTCAAATTTCCAGATTTTTTTTTAATTCTAATTTTAGGCGTTGGAATCTGAGATTCAAAATTATCAAATGCCAAAGTGTAAAATACAAAATAATAGATTTAGGTGTAGACAGACATAATTTTTGTACCTAAATATATGTGTAATTTTGAATTGTCGAATTTAAAACTAGTTCAAACTAAGTTCAAAATCTGAATATTTTAAATATTGAAATTACATATTTAAGGTTGTCGAAATGTTGAAATGGCAAACGTAAAATTATGAAATGATCAAATTTAGAATTTATATTAATAATAACCAAATAATAATAATTTTAGGTATAGATGGATATAATTTTTATACCTATCCTAAAATATAGATATAATGTTTTAAATGTCGAATTAAAAATTGTCAAATACTAAAGAGTACAAAATAAGGGATCGTATTTACATTAAAATGATATCCGTATTATGATGATTTAATATAAAATAAAAGCAAATAATGATAATAATAAAATTAATAAATAATATAAATAAAATTTGTGAATAATAAAAATAATACTAGAAAAACAATGAGGTAGAATAAAAATATTAATGCTCAGAATTGGAAAATTTTAAATATTAAAATTACATATTTAATATTGTTAAAATGATGAAATTTCAAACGTAAAATTATGAAATAATTTCATAATTTAATAATAATTAAATAATGTTCAAATTTGGAATTTAATATTATCAAAGAGTGGAAAATTGAAATTGAATACTGTCAAATATTAAAAAAATTAAATTTAAAATTGTTCAAAATTATTAATTTGCCGAGGGAGAAGTTTGTTTTTTCGCGTGAAAATCCAATTTGCTAATATTATGTTTTCTCGACGTTTCAAGTCATTCTGAATCGAATGAGACCAAATTTGGAAAAAGCATGTGTTTGTGTATATGCATGTAAACTGTGTGTATATGTGAGCCAATGTTTGACGTTAAGTCGATGTTTAATTTAAAACGGCTGAACCGATTTTAAACATTTAAACGCCATTCGATGCAACTCGATGAAGAGTAGTGTATATCAGTTTTATGCCACGATCGGCCAAGCCAAGTTTTTTTGTAATAAGCAGAAATCTTTAGCACAATCTTGAACCGATTTTAAAAATTCGAAAACTGAACAATATTGTTTGGGAATCGTGCTGATGTTTATGTTTTTGTAAGAAAATCCAATTTGCTAATTTTATGCTTTCTCGACGTTTTAAGTCATTCTGAATCGAATGAGACCAAATTAGGAATAAGCATGTGTGTGTATTTGTTTGTAGGCTGTGTGTATATGTGAGCCAATTTGACGATTCGTCGACGTTTTATCAAGAACGGCTGAACCGATTTTAAAAAATTAAACGCCGTTTGATGTAACTAGAAGTGAATTAGTGTTTATCAGTCGGCGAAAGCGTTTCTTTAAATCAGCAACAAAAAAGGTAAAATATTTCGTGCACGTTTTAGCCCACAATTTTGAATCTATGCAAGAATACCTACATGAAAAAACAAAAACTGTTGGAAAAATATTGGTTGGGAATAGTGATGAACAGTTTTTGGTGAAGGGAATAGTGCTGATTACTTCAAATATATACAAAGAAGATTTAAAATGAATAAAATTTATTTTTTCTATTATCCAAATTTGACCCTGGTTGTTGTCCTACCGAACTGCGTACGTACACACGTTTCATGATTATCCATACAGTCTATTGTGTCTGGAACACCATAAATCAACAGATGTATATTATGATCATTCCATCATTTGAATTCTAATGACGAACAACACGGGGAGGTTCTTGATTAAGCAAGAACGGCTGCCGAGTGTAAAATAATTTTCAAAGTCAATTTACTTGACGAAGCTTTCTCTGTTCGTGGAAGAGAAGGATTTGATTAAGCACGTATTTAATTCAGGGACTAGCTGCTGATACTCTCCCGAGCTTTTTATAAGTTACAAGAAGTCTGCGGTAATAGGAGGAGGATGGGATGTGATGTGATATGGGATGTTGTGTTTCTGTATCGGGAATTTGTAAATTTTAGTTAGATACAAATCATGTTTCTTGTAAGGAATATTTTAGTACGCAAATGTATAACAGAGATCCCTTGTGAATTACTGGTTAAGACTATGGGATAAGAATCAGGAGTTCCATGTACACGCTTCGGACTTTCTTATAGTGACATTAGTTGCAAATAAATACAGCAAAATGTTAACAATAGTACAGTCATTTAAGCTTAAATTAGGTAAGAATCTCGGATTCAAGATACCCAGCTGTAGGTCTGTAAATAATATTTACTAAATACTCTAAAATAGCACCTTAAAAGTTGTCTGAAAACCTACATATGGTCCGTACATCCTACTTTTAGGGTGCTATTTTAGGGTATTTACAGACTTACAGCTGGGTATCTCGAATTCCGAGGTGAACTTACTATAACAACTGGACTACAAGTAGAAATGGGGCTTCCCGACATTGAAAAATTTATCAGTATTCCAATTGGATATAGGCCAACCCTTGGGTTGCCTTCTCAACATCCAATTTTCCATGTCAGTCATATGTGTCTGACCCTAACAAGTTCCACATGTGCCATGTCAAATGTATATGTCTGATATACATAATTTGGTAGTAGGAAAAAATGTTCTAATAAAAATTTTCAAGTTTCAAAAAAATTAACTTTTCAAATTTTTTTCATCATTTTCAAGATAAACTAAATTTTGATCGATTTCAAAAAATATCAAAATTTAAAAAAAAAATTTTACAAGAATTTGAGAATGTTTCGAGATTTTCAAAAAAAATAGATTATTTACCAAATTTTCCAAATTTTAAATCAAATTTAATCAAAATTTAATAAATTTCTTTTAAACATACACAAAAGTTGTTTGTAAAATACGCTCGTCGCCCAATATAATAAACACTTAAAAATTTAGGTAGTAAAAAATATATAGGCCAAAAAACCGTAGACATGAAAAAATTCATTTTTTTATTAAATTTTTTTTAAGTGTTTTTCCAGGAATTTTGACATTTTTTTCTTGGATACATTAAGTTTTCTTGACACATTTTCAACAGAATTATCTAATAATGTTATCTTGGTCCATATGGAATTTTTCTGATATTATCGTGGCAATTAACGTGTTAAAATTAACGTGGTTAAGGTATATCATCATATTTTATACGACCCTCAAGATCGTTGTTCAAATAAAAAATTAGTATACGAAATACTTTTCGTATGCAATTTTTTATATGCATTTTGACAAACTAAAGTTCTTCTGAAGTTCATTCCAGATTTATTACGTTTATTAAAATTTAAAATGAAAATCGTATTATAATATATTACCAGTTATGATCGGTCTTTAAATAAAAAATTAGCGTACAAAAGTATTTTAGTCTGCAATATTTAATATCCATGTCCATGTATAATTTTCTTTAATTGCATATTTACAAACTAAAATTCTTCCGAAATTCATTCCACATTTATTACAAAAATTACACATTATTTATTATAAAAATTGTGTTTTATTACTGAATGATTGGCACCTCAAATATAGTGTCTCTGATATTATCTGGGAATTAATATTTTATTTTCTTTTGTAATATTTGGAACAACATTAGCACTTTTTGTACA